TGCCTTGCATATGACCTTTCAGTTGTTTTCTTATTGCTTTTCTTATTTCTTATTGCTCTTACTGAGCTGTTCACCTTGCATCCAAATGTAGCTTCTCTGTTATGGAAAGAAGTAATTGCTCAGGAAAGACCAGAATTATTTAAGGGTACCACTGGCATATGGAAGAACATCGTGGAGGTTTAGTCCTGGGGAAGAGTCATTAGATGCTCACTTCCTTTGTTCATAGATGTGGGAAGTTCTGCTTTTAAAGGCATTTAAGTCCAGTTAGAAAAATGCAATGTGATGTTACAAGACTTTTTCTATCCTTACTTTTTGCTGCAGCATATTTTATTAAATTTTATTTGACAATTCGGAAGAAATACTGTTTTGGTTTTCTTATAAATAATGGTTTTGTGAAATTTTCATTGGATCTCATGGGTGTGGGTTGGAAAGGAATCTTGAAGGATCATCTATTCCAACCCCTTGTCCATGGGCAGGGACATCTTTCACTAGATCAGGCTTTTTATGTTTTCCAGTTATTGCAGGATTATGAATTATTTTCTGAAGTAACTGATACCTTTTCTGTTAAATCATCCACTATTTGGCCTTGTGTTTTATTTTTTTCATGTCATGAAAGTGAGGAATAAATCAAAATAGCCAAAGCTGCTTTTGACAGCCAGTGGAGTTTACATGCACATACCAATGTTAGGTTCAGTTACTTTAACATCAGAAACTCTTATCAACACAGAATGGTTTAATGTGGTAAGGTTTAATTTCTGTGGGATTGCCTGGAATTAATATTAAGCTCATTATTGAGAAGCTACTAGCATTTTCCCCTATTGCTGACCATTCTGTCAGAGAAGAACATAAACATTTATTTCCTGTATTTCAGGAACTTTTCTTGCCTGTTTTTTCTTTGGTTTGTTCAGGTCAGTAAACAAACTGCTTGCTGGGAAAGCCAAGCTCCGTGTTGTCCACAGAGGGTGTCTGCTGTCAGAGTGGCCATGAAGTCTGCTCCTCATGTAGTAGGGGTGTTGCAAACTTCATCAAGTTTGGTCTTTTCTCTTGGAAAACATTTGAGCATGTTTGCCATCAGCAAGAGGCTTTTGATGGGGGCAGATCTGTCTTTGCCAGTGATGCATTTGCTTGGAAGCTGCTATTTTTGGCCTGTTAGCTCTGAGTCTTTTGTAACAGCAGAAAGCGGAAGTGAGCAGTGAAATCCCTTTAATAGCATATTTCCTGGTTGAAGTGACTTATCTGTGAGGCCTAGACACAGGAGACGTCATTTCCTGGATTACTTCTCTTCAGTCCCAACTGTCTGTTTTACTGCATAATCTTTTGACCCAGCTTCTTAATTGTAGTGAACTTTTCTGTTAAGTGATATAAACTAGTTCTTTCAATGAAAATGTAAAGCTTTAAAGAAACAGCTTTTGACAAAATGCTAGTATGCAACAGAGGTTTTTCATAAATTACATGTTGATTGAACTTGAAATCTCTTACATTAAAATTTTGTTTACAAGCTTAAAATCTTGTCTTTGAAAGAGTAAGATTCACAGGGCTAAAAAATATTTGACAACTTTCTGTTCCTTGTAATGATGATACTGAACACCTCTCTTTGACATCAGCTGTATCTGTGTTCTAGAGTTAGGACACTTCCAAAGAGCTAAAATGGTCAGTTATGCTGTTTTCAAATTTCCTTTCATTAATGTGAAAATTGTTACTTGGAGTCCATGAAAAAGAGGCAAAAAGAGCTAATTAAAAATTAGCTGCAAATATGGTTCTCAGTTTGTATAGCCCACAAAAAAGCCATGGAATCAGAATGACATGGCAGAAAAAAATGACATCTGAAATTTTAATACAGTTCATCTTAAATTGGAACTTATGATTGGTTTGGACCTTGTAATCGAGCTTCTCTAAAATTTTTGTTGGGGTGATAACTATTCTTTCCCCTAATGTTTTGCATAAGATAGAAGTCAAGCACACTATATATGGGTTTCTTGGTCAACCACTAAAATATCTTCACGTGAAAAGCATTAAGACATCAAGTGACCTCACTTCTCTTCCCCTCCAAAATAGAAAGAACAAAAATATACCTTGCTGATTTTTCTTAGCACAGACTGCTTTTACATCTCCCTTAAAATGTCTACCCAGTTGTTTGTGATCATGAAAGTATTTTCTTAGCAGCAGTGAAAAAAGAATGTTGGAGTTCGGTGTAGATTGCCATCTAATAGGAATTGATACTTCATTGAGCTAGGTAAAATCCTAAAAGCTGGTCCAGCTGTTCCCATCAGGGCATTCAGCATGGTTCTTGTCTATGTCACAGGGTGAGGATCCATATTTCTGCAGGCATACTGTGCTGCAGAATGAGATACACTTTTTTGAAGGTGGTATTTGCCAAATCAAGAGTAGATTGGATTATGTTATGCTATTTTGCAGGAAGTAATCTCAAACTGGTACTTTCTGTTGGATTTGTCCAAATTATTGGGCATTACCTATGCAATTCATGTAGTGACTAATTCATAAGTATATAACAACTTGGTTACTTTTGTTTGGTTTTATTGTATCTTCTGTAAAAGTGTCATATAAGTTAGGAATAAGTAGTAAGTCTTCTGTCCCTCTGAAAGATGAGTATGATGTCCTGGTGCATCATTCATTTCTCCTTAGTGTGTCTTGCAGGAACTGTTTTGGTCAAGGCTGAAATAATTCTTACATTTACTGTTAAAGCAACTACTGTGCCTTCTTGACTGACTTTCTATTTGCTTATTTACACTGTCTTAAGCTTCTTTCTGGTTGGAAGTTCTAAAACTTGATGTGTAAGACATCATAACAGTTAAGGTTGCATAGAGTCAAGAGTAAAATCCACCTTTTATCTGTGCAGCATTGGAAATATTATAGGTGTTACAGAATGTTTGAGGTTGGCAAGAACCTCTTGATATTGTCTGGTCCAACACCCTGCTCACTGCAGGGTCAACCAAAGTAGGTTGCCCAGGACCATGTCCTGTCAGATTTTGAATATCTCCACTGATGGAGACTCCACAGCCTCTCTGGGCAATTTGTTCCAGTACTGACCACTGTCACAGGAAAAAAGTGTGGTGTTCAGATAGAATTTTGTGTGTTTTACCTTATGTCCATTGTCTCTTGTTCTGTCAATGAGCAGTGCCTTTTCTTCAGTCCTTCCCATCAGATACTTACAGACACTGATGACCTCCCCTGCCTTGAGTCTTCTGCTCTCAGGCTGCAGAGTCACAGCTCTTTGAGCCTTTTCTCCTTGGAGAAATGTGTTAGTGCCTCAATCTCACCAGCCCTTTACTGGACTCACTCCAGTAGATCCCTGCCTTTGGTGGTTTGGGAGACCAGAAATGAACACAGCACTCCAGGTGGGACCTCATCAGTGCAGATCAGAGAGGAACCTGTTGTTCACCAGGACCCTCAGGTGCTTCATTGCAAAGCTGCTCTCCTGCTTGTCAAGCCACAGCCTATACTTGGTACCTGGGGCTTTTCCTCTCCAGCAGCAGGACTTGGCTTTTCCTCTCACTGACTATTGTGAAAACCTTCTCTCTCCAGAGAGAGGATGCCCTGCTGGTGACTGGCTCCAACTGGACTTGGTGCCACTGATCAGTCTTCCAGGCCGAGTCTTTCAATCAGCTTTTAATCATTTGTCTAACTCGTACTCCATCAGTGTGTCTGTGACACTTTCCAAGCCGCTTTCATTTGCTAGGAGGTAAAAATAAATAAATAAATAAAATCTCTTCATTTTGAAAATGGTCTTAACCATGAATGTGTTTTGTGGTATAAACTGATACTGCCACAGATGAGGTGGTCTTATTTTTGTATGAGCTTATTTAGGACAAAGTGGCATTTACCATATATTTAATAATCTTAGGCTTTGCTTTTTAAGCTCTCCAGATATGTTCTTAAAATGAATATAATAATTTTAGTAATATTTGCAATAAATTATACCTTCCCAGATATATTAATAAAAGATATACAATCAGCAGGTTGTTAGCTATAGCCTCAGTTATTAGGAAGACTGAAAAGCTATCTAGTTCTGTTGGCTGCCTGTTAATAAACATGAAGTGGTCTCTGACTTAAATCTCTGTGATGCCCTGTCAAGGCTCAAAAACCTGAAAAAGCAGTCTTGGGATTTTGTTCTTAAGGCAATGAATAAAGCTGCCAGTTCAGGCTGAACACTGGAGCTGCTGACAATGAATTATGCCTCAGACTCCTCTTAGTATCTGAAACTAATTTTTAGTTTTATTTGTCTCTCTGATACTGGAAAGGTCTCTGTGTTTGAAGAATAATTTTCTAAAGTTTTTCCAGGTTGCAGAAAGGTGTATTGAGTAAAATCTTGTAACAGGCGTTTAACATACTATTTTTAGTTTAGTTTTGGTGATCTCATCCCTTGCCATTTTAAGAGTCTCAATTGTTTTCTGCTGAGGCATTGATAATGGGTAGCAGAACGGCATGTAGAGTTCTGGCTCATCTTCTGTTGAGTCACTTGGTAAAGGTATTCCAGTCCTGTGAGCCTGAATTACATGGTGAATTGGCTTCTTAAGTTTAGGTCACATCTTGCTTCTAAGAAAAATGTGTGGTTGATTTTTGAATGTCCAGAATGAAAAGGTAGAGAGGCTTTGATCAAAGCAATAATACAACCATCAAGTCTTTGCAGGAAAAGTGTAACAGGAAGTAAGAAAAATGGATTGACTGAACTCAGTATCGTAAATCAGTATTTAATGAGTAAGATTACTGACTGATTAAGATTAAAACTACTACTCCAGTTTAAGTCCCAGTGCCACTAATCAGTGGTAATATAGCTGTACTGTTTTGTTTATAGAACTTGGAGCCAGTCAGTGTGTGTTGGCTCCTCTGCTGGTTTATAAACATACTTGAGAGCTTGTTTGATTTGCCTACTAGGAATGTAATGCATGCTTGAATAATATATACTCAGTCTCAGTGCAGTGATTTTAGGAAAGTTGTTAATTAAGATTTTAGAACTCAATTAACTTTTTTTTTTTTTTCAGGATGGCTTGAATTCTTTGGTCCTTGATCTGGATTATCCAGCGCTGAGGAAGAACAAGAACATTGATAATTTTTTAAATAGATGTAAGTTGCAAGTGGCTCTTAAACAATGACATTGTTGTAATCTCAATCATAAGAAGTTGAGTGATCAGAAATGCAGTGCCCGTGGTTATTCTACTGATTTTTATTACTCTGAGCTTCAGAAGGATTTGGAGGACCATTTTTTACAGAGAAAATTTTCATTTTAGGGAGCTATGTTATGAAAATATGTTGGAAAATACCAGATTTTTATTTTCCTAAATACAGTTGGAAAAATCCTTTTATGTTATTTTCTTATCTTACATATGTGTAGCTACATAACTTGCTAAGTATATCCTAGTTATTATTCTTCAGGAATTCATTACACTAAATGTCAACATTGTTTATATAGTCATATTTAATCTAACAGAGAAGCCTTTTGTGGGTTTGTAAAACTAAATTGTTGTACCTTAAAATCTGTTGACATCATTTTTGAACCTTTGCATAAATGTTTGTGATTCTCTCCAAATTAATTGTAGACAGGATCTTGGCATTTATTAAACATATGATTCTACATCAGAGTAGCTGTATTTTGTGGTTTTGAAGTGTTTTCTATTCATGTATGTAAGCAGAATCTTTTTTCTTATAAAAATAGCAGATTATGTGTTTTAAAATGTAATTTGCAGTGAGTAAGCCTTGTTGGAATAACTATGCTTTGTAGTGAGCTATTTTGAGATATATTTATTTTTTTAAATTTTCTATTGCATATGTTGAGTTTAGATTACTGCAGATGCAGTCTTATCAGCAACTCCTTTTAAATTTTTTGCTGGTAAGAGCTGTATGTGTCTGCCGTCTGTTGCCCTGGGACTCCTTGGAATATCCACTCACACTCGTCACTTAAATAGTGTCTGGTGTAGTAATTTGTGGTGAGTTCTTTCTTTGGAATTCAGTGCTTCTCCATGAAGTTTAGCAGAGCCCCATAGAGGGACATACAGCTTTGACAGTTGCCAGTAAAGTCTCATTTGGAGAAATCAGTTAAAATACGGTAAATAAGAAAGAGCAGATTAGGACATAGAGGCATACCTTGGCATTATTTTCAGTTTGAGTTAAAAGAAATTCAAGCAGATATTTATGAAAGAAAGGGTCTGTGACAGCATTTTAAGTATCTTTGTTATTTGCAACTGAGCAATGGATGTGTATAGTGAGGGGAAAGCTATGAAGATGACATAAATAATATTTATCAACAGTTTCTCTGAGCTGGTTATATCTGCTTTTACATTACTGTTTTTGCAATAAAACAAAATTAGAAGCCTCTTTCTGATCAGAAGACCAGTATTTTCTGACTATTAGAAACAGTAACTATGGGAAAATAATTTAACCTCAGGAACGGATTGGAGTTTTGTTTGTTATTTGCTTGGTTGGTTTTTGTTTGTTTGCTTGTTTGTTTGCTGCAGCCCCTGAACATTCTGCCTGTCTCCCTCTTTTCGAAGGCTGTTGCTCCTTCTCCATCTCTAGGTTCTCTCTCACTGTTGTAGTAAATATTTTAAGTATCTTATTAATTGCTGGTGACCTGGAGGCTACCAGCAATGTCAGAAACATGAAAATATAATTTGTTCACAATTTTCTTACTGCCTTTTTATTGTTAAACCAGCTAACAGTATACAGTTGAAATAGCCAGATACTAGTTGAAAGAATTTTGAGATGTGTTACAAAAAAATTCACACTAGTTAATAAAGAGTTTTCAAGGGTGCACTTCATCCTTACCTGTTGAACTTTTAAAAAGCATGCAACACCTGACTATTTTGGCCATATTGTGTGACAGTGCATCTTTCTTAAGAATCACACATGTAACTTCTCTCTTGTTTCTGTACTGACTGGGAGAGAACAAAAATAGTGCTGCATATCCTCTCTGATTTACACTTTGGGAAAAAATAAATTGTGAAATGAGAATTTTGTGAACATTTGAGACTGGTAGTGTTTTGATACTGCAAAAGAAAGAATCAATCCTGCCACAGTGATTCATTTCAAAGTCTTTTCTGACACAGGTGGTTGTATGGTTTGTTATGTACCACACAGGGGAATTGAGCAGAATTCATGCAGAGTCAGGTGGTTTGTTTTTTCTTTTTATTAAAACTAGTCAGGAAAAAGAAAAGCAAAGAGCAGTTTCTGATTTTCATTTCACTTCACTGGTACTTGTGCTATCACAAAATGAGCCATTCAGGTACAGGAAATAAAGGACAACAACTGTGTTCTTATTGACATTGCCATTTTATGCAGTTTAAAATTGTTAAACCCATAGCTTAGGTTTTGGAAACTGTTCTGAGGGTGGCAAGTATCACTGGAAAGAGTGTGGTAGTGCTTGCTGAAGTTTCTTGCCACCTTGGGCTTGGAAGAAAAGTTGAGAACTGTATTGAGAATTTATGGAGCTGTAAGTTGTTGCTTTCTTAGGGTAAGGAACAGTGAGTTCTTGTCTCTTGTGATTTTTCTCAGCATCTGAAGAACTGTCCCAAATGCCCAGCTGAGAACTGCTGTCAAAAGCTTCTGACAAACTCTGCTGAGCAGTCTGTGCCAGGGGCCTGGAGCCTGCTTCCCTCCCCAAGGCTTCCTGGGGCAAGCATGGAGAGGTGGCAGGGCCTCCTGTGAGTTACACTGTGCTGCACAGTGAGGCAGCTAAAGCAGAGTCACTGTGATTGTTTTCATCCATATTACACAACTCTGCAGAAATTGTGGAGAACACTAAATAATCATCACACTTTCAGTCACCTTAATCGCTTAATTCTTCCTCAGTAACACTTTGAGAATTTTTTTTTCCCCACCACATTCCCAGGGGTTTGCATACACCCTACTTCCAGCCTACATCAAGTCATTACTATTCAGGTTAATGTTTTATTAATAGCTTATTTTAATTTAAAAATGAAATAGCTTCTACTTCAGCTGACACATTAATTTATGTTCAGCTCAACTCATAATGGCAAGCTGAAACTCCAAGGTTTCAACTATTTCACAAAGGCAATTTATTAATTGTCCGTACCATAGGAGTTTGGTGTATTCTGTTTCTGTGACCACTTCTCAGAAGCAGCCTCTTAACTTGTTTAATATGAAAGAAGTTCTTTAATTGCCTGCTTTGCCTTGCCATTCTGATTTGTTACCACTTTCTCTAAGGTATTGAACAAAAGTGGAACCTGTGTTTGGTATAAGAGGCACATTAAGTATCTTGCATAATACAACCATTCCTTTCCAGTCTTTATGTTCCTTTTCTGTTGCATTAATCAACTGTTGGGATTCTGATTTAAATTGCTATGTTTTTTAGAGTATTCATGGAACAGAAAAGTGTAGTGCAATATTTAATTCCCAAAACAATGAGAGGAATCTCATAGTCCTCTGAGAACAAAAGCTAATTTTCTTATTTTAGAAAAGAAAGCTGAGTTTTTCAGCATGGGCTTGGTGTGACAAATCTTTTCTTGGTCTTTTCCTCTTCTATCATCCAGGCAAAGACAATAGGTTGAGTAAATTCTTCCAAATCAATTTTTCTGCCGTTAAGATTTGCCAAGTGTTGAATCATTTCTTAGTGCCTTGTGCCTTTTTTTGTGGTCTCCCATTCAGATGTAACTTAGTCTTAAATAGTTAAATAACAGGTTTAAGCAATAGGTAAAAACATTTGATCGTTTATAATCTTATCATCATGAATAGAAGGGCACAAAAAATGGATTTTGAGTAAGTCCAAACAGCAGCACAGAGAGTGGTGCCATCGACAGGCCTGGTACAACCCAGAAGTATTCAGTCCTTACATGGATCAGTGACTTTCTATGCATTATTCACCATCACTCAAGAGTTGGAAACTTGTGTTGCTAAATGATTTGCTGATGTTATGTAGGTTGGCAGAATTGTAGAGTGTAGTGACAGTGGATATATTTACAGGTAGAAGGGACTTGTACTAGAGATGTGGCACCTGTGCACCAGTTTTCTAGACTCCCTGAAAAGTTCTTTGGCCATTTTCCTCTCCAAGCAGACACTGCTTACTTGGAAGATGTATCTTCCAAGATTGATTGCTTTCAAAATCAATAGTTCTGGTTCCTTCCCTTGCATTTCGTTATGTCATTTGTAGTTGCTGAATCCTGCTCAGCCATGTGGTTACCAACAGGAATGTGTTATCTGCTGTGTTGTGAGTGCCTCCCAGGGCTGCAGCTCTGTGTGCTCCAGGCTTCCTGTCAGCAGCACTCATGAAATATCGGATGCCAACAAGAATCTTAGAAATTTAGTGCACTGTAGAATTTCCACTGAGTTGAGGAGCTAATTGCTCCTCTGGTTTTCTCTTGGCTTCTCTAAGGCAGCTCCCTGCCAGGTCTTCACATTCGCCTCAGCAGGTTGGGCTCTGGTTCCATTCTTAATGATATTGTTCTGGTAGGAGTAGGGATGGGAGAGGTATCAAATAACCAACTTTCCCAAGCAGAGCGTGGAAGCCACAGTGTGTAAGACAGAATGTCTTAGATGTATAAACAAGTTATATGTCAGTGTCATTAACCACATTCCCTTTTGGGTACTTGGTAGATACAAAGCAATTCAGCCCTGCCATCAGGCTTATTTTCATTACATTAGGGATGTGTTCTCTGTAAGCCAGAGGGCTGCTGCTTTCTGTTCCCCTGTGTCCTGCTCTTTTCCATCTATGCAAGAGACCATACTTCTCATGTTCCCCTTTTATTTCTCTGAGGGAGGAAGCTAAAGACAGCTCCTGTCTGGAGCTGTGCCTTCTAGTTCCTCCTGATTCTGCAAGGTCTCCAGCAACTTCTTCTTCACACACCTTTGACCAGACACTATGCATGCACCCCTAATTACTTCAGTCTTTCTGTTGTGCTTTCTGTTTGGTTTTGTTCAGCTGCAGGATTGCAGCACTTCCTGGCTGTACTTCAGTTTAACTTCTGGCTGGACTTCTGCCTAGGGCAGCAACTTTTGACTTAATGTACTCCATACTCATTGACTGTGTCTGATCTGTGGGATAAAATTGCACTCCCTTGCAATTTTATTCTCATATATACACTCTCAAGAACTGCTTGATACACAGTATTTTT